TGCATCTCTGTTAGCTTTGTCACTATGAATATATTCAATTCTTTATCTGACATTTCCATGAGTTATGTGTATTCTCTGTGGAAGAAAAGGAGTTATTCTTTCCCCTTAGGAGAGAGAGATTTTCTTGGTTTCTCATATTTCTTGTGGTTCTGCAGTGGTTTCTGGTCATCTGATGGATTATACAATTTTTTCCTAGTTTTTGGAGATAAAACTGAGCATTTAGAGTAATGCAGGAGGAGGTGACCTGTAGTCTCCAAACAGTACTTTGCACAGCTGATTCAATGAAAATTGAGGATTAATTTGACCCTAAAAGTATTCATATATTTGACTACTGAGCACCTATACCTGTCTTGAAAATCAAGTGTGTGGAGGCTGACCAGAAAAGTGAGAAAGATAAAAAGAAAAGGAAAAGGAATAGAAAAAAAAAAGAAGAAGAGAAAATAAAAAAATAAAAAAAAATTTTTTGACAAAAAATGAAAACCACAGGGACCAGCAGCTAGAGTAAGACTATGTTGCTGGACTCCCATGTAGTCAACCACGGTTCGAGTCCCGGACCTGGTGGCTTAAACTCACGCTGGGCGCATGTGCACACGTGCCCAAGATCCCAAGAGGAGAATGGAGGAAAAGGGATTGCGGCATGGCCTTCCTCCCTGGGGGGGTAATTTCTCACTTTCTGTCTCTCTGGTGAGCACACGTGCCCTGTAGCAAAAACCTCTCCAAAAATAAAAAAATCTTTCAGATGTAGAGAAGGGATTGGACTTTGCTAATTGGAGTCAAGATGTTTCCTGAATTTCATCAGATGTGTCTGTTGGAATACCCCTAGCAATTTCCACCCCTTGCTCTGCCTGCAGCTAGGGTCAAGGAAAGGACAAGTTGCAAGGTTCTTCCAAAGCCCAAAGAGACAGGTGGTATTTGCTCAGAACATGTCCCCACACTTCACTCAGGGCCCCTCCATAAGTATTACCCTACAGCTGATGATTGGGTTGTCCTGGCTCCTGGCTACATCTGGGTGGGTAAGAGAGTGAAGTCTAGACAGAGGGTCTTCACTGGTCCATACCATAGGCATACTAAATGGGGCAGTTTACACAATTGTGAGTGAAAAATTAAATTTGCACAAACTTTCTGCTTGATGAGTGCCAAAACTGTTATGCCCACATCAGCTGCACATAAAAGCAAAGTTGTCAATGGATACTTTAAGCAAGCAGGATCAAGATCATGAAGCATTTCTTTGATGAACAGGAGATCATGCATGGCCTCACCAGTACAGTCCTGAAGACAAAGCACAATGAAAGCAATGGCTCCCGAGAGGTGGAAGTGGTCCAGTCAGAGCAAAAGCAAACTAGTCAAGAGAATGTAGACATATCTACAGTTTTTTGGGATGCTCAAGGCATTTTTGCTTTTAAAGTTTTTGGAGGGTCAAAACTTAAAGCATCTGCTTATTATGAATATTTTGAGAAAGTGAGCTTATGCTTGAGCAAAAAAAGGCCCAGAAAAATTTCACCATAGTCCTCCACCGTGACAATACTCCTGCTTGTTCCTCTCATCAGCAGTGAGAGTTTTGCTAAGAAATCATTAGGCATCCACCTTACAGTTCTGATTTGGCTTCATCTGACCTATTTTTGTTTTCTGATCTTAAAAAAAATCTCTAAAAAGTACCCCTTTTTCTTTTCTTTTATAATTATTTTATTTTATTTTATTTATTTTAGTTTGAGCAGAGAGAGACAGAGGGTGAGAATGAGAGAGAGACAAAGTAAGAAAGCAAGCCACCAGATTCAGGACTTGAACCCTGGTTGGCCATGTGGGAGTGTCCAGCGCCTTAACCACCATACCACCTGCTGGTCCCCAAGAGTACCCCTTTTTCTTAATAATGGCATGATTGGCATTGGCATGATTAAATTCCCAGGACCCTCAGTTCTTTAGTATTCATTTGCCAAAAAAAAAGAAAGAAAAACCTCTCAAATTTGATGGCACATAAGTCAAGAAATAAAGTCACTACTTTTTTTTTTTTTGAGAGGTTTTTCTGTAGGGTATGTGCACTCACTAAAAAGAGACAGAGAGACAAAAGGCGAGAAATCACCCCCTGGAGGGATGGCCATGCCGCAATTCCTTCTCTTCCATTCTCGGGATTTTGGGCATGCACACACACACACCTGGCATGAGTTTAAGCCACCAGGTCCAGGACTTGAACCATAGTCGACTACATGGGAGTCCAGCTACATAGCCATTATGTCATCTGCTGGTCCCTAAAGTCAATATTTTTTTTTATCTTTTTATTCCATTTTTCACAAACATTTCAAGGTCCCCTTGTGTGCCAGCTGGAGTTCTGGCCATCATATTTTCATCCCAGACAGGAAGTGGGATAGCAACAGAGGGAAAGTAAAAAGGCACCTTTAGCTGTCCGGTCTCTCTTTAAAGGGCGTCTCTAGGAAGTCGATGTATTAATTTCCACTTTCATCTCGTTGACCATCCTGAACAAAACGAGGTTTTGTTATATGGAAGAAGAGGAGAATGGATATTGGGTTGACAACCAGTAGTTTTGCTACATAAAGGAGAAGCTAGTTGAGTAGGAAAAGAAAAGATTAGATAAGAAACTTGATGCTGGAATCTAGGGTAGTAAGAAATTCAGGAGATGAGAGAGGGATCCAAAAATGGTCTTGGCCTCAATGAGTCCTTTTTTTTTTTTTTTTTTTTGAGAGGTTTTCACTATAGTGCGCATGCGCTCGCCAGACAGAGAGAGACACATAGAGACAGAAAGCAAGAAATCACCCCCCAGGGGGGATGGTCACACTGCAATCCCTTCTCCTCCATTCTCTTCCCGGGATCTTGGACACACACACACATGCGCCCAGCGTGAGTTCTAAGCCACCGGGTCCAGGACGCGAACCGTGGTCAACTACGTGGGAGTCCAGCGACATAGCCATTACACTAACTGCTGGTTCCCTTGGCCTCAATGAGTCTTTACCTTCTTCCTTAATCTGGTATTCTCCATGAATGGGCAGGAAGCATAGACTGTCCAGATAAATTTAGTCTTATGTCTCAGGAAATAGGGCACTGGTTTATGTGTTTGCTCTTTTTGCTTATTTGTTTTAATGAGAGACAGAGAGATATTTTTGACAGGATCTTACCTGGTCACAGCTTTCCTGTTAGCTAGGATCACAGGTACGTGTCAACACACTCAGTCTATTAAGATGGGGCCAGGGATTGAGCCTGGGCCTCTCATGCAGCTTTGACTACACTACAGTGGCACTCTCCCACTTAAACCACTGTGACTGGGAGAGATTCTTTTTTTCCTGGTAGCTGACGCTCTGCATAGAAAAGGAGGCATCAGAAGTTTTAACGCCATTTGTGAAAGCCTAATTTTTCTTTAACTTCAAAAAGATAGACAATTTATCTTCTGTGATATCTTGGTTGTCCCCTGGCGCTGGCATAAACACCCAAAACCCTTGGAATCTACTGAGTGATAGGGCTGATCATCTTTTGTTATTCATAATAAGCAACTTTCAACCACACCTGAATTATGCGAATGAGGTGATTCTTAGAGGATGAGAGCTAGTAGCCAGAGGAGACAACCAAGTGATTAGAGGGTTATAACTTTCAGCCTCACCATAGTCATCACCACCATTCCAGCTCCAAGAAGGGGAGAGAAACTAGACATTAATAACCGATGCCCATGCCTATGTAATGGAATCTCTATTAAAAACTCTGAACTATTGGATTCACAACCTTTAGCATTGATGAGCACATGGAGGTGCTAGGAAGGTGGCATATCCCAAGAGGAGAAAGAAGCTCCATTTTCCTTCCCCCATACCTACCCTGTGCATTTCCTCCATTGACTGTTTCTAAGTTATATCCTTTATAATAACTTGTAATAGTAAGTAAAACATTTTCCTGAGTTTTCTGAGTTGTTCCAGCAAATTACTGAACCCAAAGAGGAGGTTGTGGGAACCCCTGATTTATAGCTGGTTTACCAGACATCAAGGTCATGACTTAGGACTTACAACTGGCATCTGAAATGGGGAGCATCCTATGGGACTGAGCCCTGAACCTATGGGGTCTATGCTAACTCAGGTAGTTAATGTCACAATCGAATCATATGACATCCTGTGGAGAGTTGGAGAATTGCTTCATGTAAGGAAAAATCCCACACATGGGGTTTTTGAAGTGTTGATTAGAGGAATAGTGTCTTTCGTTTTAGTTACTTTATATAGCTGTTTGAAAATGGCAACTCACCCAGTCCTTGGGAAATACAATTTAATTCAAATGTGTAAGGTACTTCCGGGCAAGGCAACTTGTAGAAAATGACAGAATTCTACTGCAATTATCCTTTTCACTGCTACTGAGAAATTTTCTAACCTACCTTGTTTTTTAAAAGAAGAAATGAAAAATGCTTATTTATAGGGAATTTCCAAATCATTTAAAAAGACTTGGGAGATTTTTGTTTTCCGCTAATACACTTCAAATCCTGGTTAAAAAAAAAAAAAACATATTGTCTCACAAAATTTACTAATAAAACTTGATTTGAAAGAAAAGGGGGTGGGGCATGAAATGTTTAGAGTGCTTAAAATTTCAGAGGTTTGACAATGAAAAGTGTCAAGGACAAGATTAAATATCATCCTGACCAAGGCTTTCTTACTCTTGCTAGCCTTAAAGGAGGACTGTTCCAAAATTTAGAGCTTGACCTTGATCCACTGATTAGTTTAAAGAAGAAATAAAACCTTCCTTTGACAATTTTGAAATATTGATTTCTGACATCTGTTTGCTAAGATAATTTGAAAATCCTTTGTTAAAAATGGCAATGATTTTTGTCATCTTTCTAAAATGCCTACCACAATTGTATTCAAGCATGCAAGAAATATATTGACATCTAGTCTCCCTGATGATTACCTTCAGATGAGAATACATTTTCATACGGATAAACATGTGTTGGTATAATTATGAGGGTGTAAATCTTTTAATCCTTACCAAATTTCACATACCTATTCACTTACTCTTCAATCCAGATCTAACTGGCTCAAAAGTCCTGATGCTGACTCCGACCAGCTCTTTCGGATGGTGGCCGAGGTCTTCATCCTGTGGTGTAAATCTCACGTAAGAATGCACTTGGGACCTGGGTCAAGGACAGTTAGAAAGGTACAAACCTTGGAAAACTTTCTTGTAATGTTTGCTTTTTTATTTCTCTCCACATAGAACTTCAAAAGGGAAGAGCAAAATTTTGTGATTCAGAATGAAATTAATAATTTGGCATTTTTGACTGGAGACAGCAAAAGCAAGATGTCAAAAGTAAGTCCTTAAAAATCAATTCCGAAGACTCGTCAACCTTGACCTCAGCCATGACTTGAATCTATTTCATATTTTTCAAGGATTAGCATGGTACTGCATTTAGGTCACACTATGTAACTTAAAGTCTCTACTGTTGTTTCTTTGAGAATGAGCCAGAAGAAACTGCTCTCAAATAAGCATGGTCATCACATTTTATGAATAAGTAGCTGCTTGTATGTCAAAAAGTTTTAAATTTCAAGACTTGCCTAAGGCATTTGAGAGGTCTCCAAAACAAAAATTGCCATTAGTGGTTTTAAAATAGAACTATTTCCTAAGTAGTGAAGCTACAAAAATGCATATACCTAGCTCCACCCTCTGATTAGCTGGGGAAAAATTACCTTGCTTTGAAGATTTCAATAGCACACACTTTTACATTATGTTTGTTTTCTTCCTCTCTGAAAACGTGCCATACCTGCTTTATTTCAGCTGTGTTGACCTCTTACTGCCTTCTGTTTATATTCCATGACAGTTGCATTCAGAAAGCCAAACATTTGTCCATCTCCCTGCAGGAAATGTTTGAAAGGGGGCATACCAGATTTCCATATGAACAAAAACAGAAAACAAAGGAAAAAAAAATGAAAAGAAAAAGAGTAACTTAGGGCACAGGGTAGCAGGAATACAGGAAGAAGACATTGACTTCTGGCTTATCCCAAGTCTGCTCCACACAGTGAAGTTTCATTATCTTGATTAGAGAGAATTCTCAAACACACTCCTTCAAGTGTACCCAAAAGCAAAGCCTATTTAAATGTGAAGTTTTATTACCAGGTGTTATGGCTTATTCTTGCTCATTCCCCCAAGCAATGGGCCACACTAGAAAGATGATAATCTTGGTTTTGTAGCAAAGCTCTTAAACATCTTTCCCACAGTCATTTGGAATGGAGGACCATGTCTGTGAAGCAGCTGGCAAGATGTTGCTATGACACCAAACATGAAACCTTCTGCACCCAGAGCTGCTCTGCGTGCAACTAGCTCTGGTTAGCTGTAATCACTCTGAACTTCGTATTGCTCCATCTTTTAATTCTGTTAATACTAGCACTTCTTCCAGAATCCAAAATTTGATTGTTAACACTCTAAGTATACACTAGAATACACTTTTAGTGTGTGCTATTTTATATAGTAGGACAAATCAACTGCACATGTACAAAGCAGAAGGATCATATTCGAGAGAAATCTGCAAAAGGGCTTCATGGTGGATCCTTTGAGGCTTTTAATCATTTTATTTCATTTACCAAAATATTTTTTGCACTCACCTTTTGGTGATTATATCCATTGCTCACGTGCCGTATACAAGGTACAATATTTCAGGCTCCAGCTCACTGAGACAGCTGTCTTATTTTATGTTGCTCCTACAGGGTGTTTTTACAGCCATTACAGGCCCTCCTTTGACCCTATCTAGCTACAGAAAGTGAATCAATCCTAGGTAGATCCCATGCTGTCTTTAACCTGGGAAAAAAAAACAGTGGCCCAGGTCTGAATCAGCTAGTATCGGTTGTTATTGTCAGGGATGGCAGCAAAACAATGGAAATGATTCTGCTACAAGGCTTTGGCTTCCAGATGAGCAGACATGGCAAAGATATCACAACCCTTTGTAATGAATGGATTCTCAGGATCCTTGGGTTTACATTTGGAAGAGATGAGGTGACAGAACATGACATTTCAAAACTCATCTACTAACAAACTAACCTGACATTTTGCCCATTCATATCACTGAGTGAGGAAAAGGGATATTTTTCTTGTCAGAGGATGATTATGTTCAGAACCTGGGTGTCTTCCCATTGGTAGGGTTAGTCTACAGAAGCAAACTTGTCTATTTCATTTCCACTGACATTGTAACTGCTGCTTTCTGAGTCACATTGGATAGGGTCAAACTTACAACCTTATGGATGTGAAGACACTCTAGATAACTCCTATTTGCATACTTCTCAGGGTGACAAGTGTTCATATTATTTCTGTTGCCTCAGTTGAGACATGTAGTATAATTGTAAAGAACAGAAGCTAAAAATCCTACCCTTGGCCCAGTTGTTGACTATTGCTTTATCGTTGCCTCATTAATTCTTCTGGGCCCCAATTTACAACCTTTAGAGTGGGTTGAGCTCACTACCTGACTTCTCCCAGCTGAGATGCTCTGGTTAAAAGTCAGCTTTAAACAGTACCTCCAGAACAGAATGACATTTGATAAATGCAGCATATTATTTTCGACAGAGATACCAAGCCTCCAATAAACAGCAGCTTATAGCCATTTCTGGTATTTGGGGGATATAGAACTACATATTGAGAGTCCAGGAAGAAGGTATTCTTCCTTATCGTCTGTTGAATTTCTATTGCCTTTGCCTCCCTGCAAATCAGGTGTTCTCTCTATTACCTGATCTGAATGGTCACCTGTCACCTATGCTTGCTTTTATCACCACTCTTAATTGAATTCTGGTGTTGTATAAATGAAACTGGGCCCAGTGCATATGGCAGTCTTGGTGGAGGTATGTGTCTGAATGCTGCATGCCACACACTGCATATGACACCATGCATGGAAAGACAGCTGAGAAAAGAGACAGTGAACCACATTTTTCACACTTGATCAATTGAAGGTCAGTTCAAAGATAGGTTATTTTCCCAGTAAATAGCTCAGATATTTTTTGGAGAGCTCATTGTTTATTTTGTCTATATAACACCAGTTTGTAACTACGTATTAAGCTAAATGTAACTAAGCTGAGCAAGTGTTTTTGTTTTGTTTTTAAACTTGTTTTTTTGGAAAAATGGCAACATCTTCCTCCGAGGGAATGGTAAGTTAGAATGTGTTTAGCCCAAGAAATGCCAGTTTTTTGACCAAGATTATAAACAAGAAAAATGAAAGAATTATGATGCAGAAAATATTAGAGTGTCTCATGGTCTAAAGCCACTCCACCTCAGGGAGCATGAGGTCAGTGGGTTGAAAAAGAAGAGGAAATATTTTAGAAGATGTCTTTTAATTTTTCAAGGGCATTCAGTTACATGTGTTTTCCTACTCCAGCCTCCCCTTCTACTCACTGCTCTCTCTTTCACACCCCCCGACCACATATACCTCTTTTTTCTTTGTATTCTCTTTGTTCTTGCACTGGTGTCGTGTACTCACAATCACCTGTGTGCATTCTCTCTTGTGCACACACACACACACACACACACACACATAAACACATGCCTCAGGTATGTGCACTCCCCTTTACCGACTCTTTCTCCTCTGCTCCTCTTTTCTTTCCTCTCCTCCTTCCCTCTTTCCTTTTTCCCCATCCTCCTCTTCCTTTCCTTCCCTTACTCTTACCCCCTTTCTCAGAGCCCTTTTGCTAGATGGATCTCTCTCTCCTTTCTCATTCTCAGACTAACTTCCCCAAATCTTCCTTTTCCTGTAATATCTAATATTGGGTTGACTGTCTTCACTTATCTTCTCAGTGGGCATGAGACCTTCCCATGGTACAGAAGCTACCACAAACTCTCCACATGCTATGGTGGTGCAAAACACTACCATATGGTGTGTCCTACTCCAACCCCATCATCCTTAAGATCTTTTCTCCTTCAGATTTACATATGCAATCATCTATTTGATCATAAACTACTGGTGATTGTGACCTAAGAGTGGAGAAATAAAAATATTTTGGAAGCATAGGTACTGGAATCAGGGAATTCCAATGAGTTCACTAATCTTTGCATTACTGTGTAGTAGTTCCGCCCCACTTGTCTATGGGAGAATACGTCCCAAGCCTCCCAGTGGATGCTTGCAATGGCGATAATGGCAAACCTTATATATGATTTATTTTTTTATCTATTAATCAAAACAGCTACTAAGTGAGTAAGAGGCTGGTAGTGAGGATAGCATGGATAAGTTGGTAAAAGGGATTATTTACATCTGGTAAGGAGAGTAGAATGGTATAAGATTTCATCATGCTACTCAGAATGGTGCTCAACTTAAAACTTATGAATTGCTTATGTCTGGAATTTTCATTTAATATTTTTGTACTGTGGCTGACCATGGGTTGCTTAAACCATGAAAAGTGAAACTGTGAATGGAGAGGAAGAAACTACTGTATGTGGAAAAAAAGAGAAAAAATTAGAACCTGTAGCATGCAGGAATCTTTGACCTAAGGTGTGTTAAAAGCCCACAGTATGTGGAAGAAGATGTTCCATTCTCTAGTTTGTGGGATAATCCTGAATCACTTTGGATAGTCCTAGAGTACTTTTTCCATTTAACATTTTTTTCCCATATGGTATGTGCACTCACCAGAGAGAAGGAAAGTGAGAATGACCATACCACAATCCCTCCTCTTTCATTCTCCTCTTGGAAATCTGGGCATACACACGATCATACCAGGCATGTGTTTCAAGCTTCCAGGTCCAGAACTTGAACCACATAGTTGGCCATGTGGGATCCAGCGCCTTACCCACCATGCCACCTGCTGGCCCCCACCTAGAGTAGTTTTTGTTTGTTTGTTTGTTTTTTAACCAAACCTTTTAGCATAAGCACAAGCATTGCACCTTAGTTCAGTTCTCCCCTCTCTTTTCATAGCCACACATCTGCTGAAGTTAATAATGTACTGATGGCAAGAGGAAAGAAAATTGGGGCCTTTAGTTGCCTACAAAATTGTTTAGCCCACCCAGGTGAAGCATAGAGGTGAAAGGTGGAAATAATTGAGATATAAAGAGTTATTGTGGGTGGCCAGATGCAAAGACCACCTGGCTTGGGTTTGAGTACTATATACCTGAGATGTCTGGTCTCTGAGTTGATGTTACCCCAGGGTGGATCGCTTGGTCTGAGTGTAAGTCCATAGGACCAAATTTGCCTTCATCCTAACCTCTCACTCAATCTTCATGCCATGCTCACAACTGGCTTCCTGAAAGGTTGAGTTTCTGTTGTGCTGGCTGAGAAAAGAGGGCTAAGAAGCTATGACTAACATGTGCTACCTTATGCTTTGTACCCCTGCTTTCACTGACTGACTCTTCTCCTTGTTTCTTTTCTTTTGTCTTTCCACACAGGCCATGCAAGTAAAGGTACAGGTCAAATGCATGACGTGTCTTTTCTGTCCTAGTATTAGAGGTGCCAGACTCTGGCCCCTCTGCACTGTGATCACCATGGGGGTGGTGCAGAATGGATTTTCCCACCTGGAGGTTCCCCAGGCCTGCTTCAAGACAACTGCCTTTCAAAGAGTGAATGTAGGCCTACCCATCCTTGGAATGGGGAAGCCGGGGAAGCCAGCCAAGCTTCGCCCTAACCGAGGTCTCCTTGCTGTCTCTGCTCCCTTCCCCAGCTGCTGTTTGGGCATCCCAGTAACTGAGATAGGGATGACTGACAGGGCTTGAAAGGTTGAGAGATTCTCTGCTGTATGGTGCCACACAGGGTCAGAATCCCATGTTCTGTTGGTGATCGAGCCCTTCCTTCCTAGATATGTGCTGCCTCTTGGACAAGGCCCCTGTGATAAAGGAGCCTTCCAAAGACTAAACTCAAGGATTTAACATCAGAATAACTTTTGCATGAAATGTGCATTTAGTAGAAATAAATCCTGTGACAATTTTCCAGTTACCCCTACAGGTTGTTACACAGAAAGTTTTCTCTTTCTGTTCATTAATGTGTATCTGCTGCCATTGCCCCAAGTTTCTATCCTAAGGTATTTGGTGGAGAATGGGAGTTTGGAAGGAACCAGGTCACATGCAGCTCTTAGAAAAGAAAAATGGAACCCTGGCAAAATAGAATTGTGTCTAGATGTGGCTCAGATGCTTATTTGCTGTGTGACCTTGGAAAAATTGCCTAATTTCCCTGATCATCATATCCTCATTTACAGAACTAACTTGTTAATATTTCAGGGTGGCTTAGAGGATTAGAAATGATTTTATGTAAGAAGTAGACACATTGGAGTCACATCATATATATAGCATTTATGATTAGAACAACATGAGATTACCCAAATAAAACAGAGAATGAGCAGGAAATAATTTAAATCAGGTAATAAAATCCACATAATTACATTTTTTATCTCATTGACTTGATTGTATGCAGTATATTGCCATTTACATGTTATATTTTTACATACATGATGCTACATCGCTTATATACACACAACCAGGTTCTGTCCTTTATGGATGATTTAAAGCTTTTCAATGGTAAATTAAACCATACATGAGTTTCATTCTTAAACACAATCTTTAGAATTCTACTTAATGGTAGAACATGTAAGAAACCAAGCGTTGTTCAGCAAATGATAGCTAGAATTTGCAGTCTTTTTGCAAACCAGTTTCACTTTCTGCTGCATTCTAGAACACAAGAAGCCTCCTTTTAGCCCCATTTCTTCTTCCTGTCATATTTCTTGCCTCTTGTCCTGCTGCTTTCCTGGTATTCTGGAGCACTGAACACAAGGTGCCCCGTAACTAGTTGAATTGTTTGACAGTGCTTGACACATAGGATTTTGCTGGCTAAGGGCTTCATCATGGTTTCTGTGATGTAACCATCTGAGGATGTGATTGCCACAGCTTGTTGAAAGACAACACATCCTTTTTAAGATCCCACTAATAATTATGAACTTCTTTCATACTTGAGAAAGTAATTTAAAGAGGTCAGTTTCTGGGCTGTGTCAATTTCTGAAAGCCCCAAATGAATCCTGACCCAGCCCAGAAGCCTTAGTCTTACACTGTAGTCCCAGGGCAGCATCAGGCCCCTGTGCTCTAAGATCCCTATGTCTCCATGTCCCATAAACCACAGCACTGCTGCCTCATGGCAGCATCCACTCTGAGGGGCACCTCATAAAATGAAGCTTTGTTAAGCACCCTTTCCCTCTTCCTCATGGTCTCTGACTTGTTTCTGGCTACTTAGCCTTCCCCACCTCCGGCAAGTACCCACTCAGCTGAGGCAGAGTTTTGCAAACAGGGCCCATGTGGTCCCCTCTGCTCTTGCAGAGCCTGACATTATGCAAAGCAGGTCACCACAGTGCCTGCTTTCCTTGAGCCTGCCCCTACCCACCATGTGCTGTGCTTGCTGATGGTTCCCAGCTGGGGCAGCCAGAGTGCCATAGTCCATTACATTGGATTCTTCTCTTAAATCTGTTTCACTGAATGAACTATCTCTGGAAGAAATGAGATTGAATATGGAAAGGGAGGTGCCAACTCCCATGGACTTGAGGAGTCCTTTCTTTCATGTCTAGTTTTTCTTCTAACTTTCCTCCAGCCAGATCCCAAACCAGCCCTACTGTAGGATTTTTCTTTCCTTGTGAGAATTTGCACTGTCTCATGATGGGGAGGCCAAGTGGGATGCCAGTGCTCGAGAACACTAGCTTCAGCCCTGAAAACAAAGCAGTTCTATGATGGGTGCTCTTTGACATTTTTACTGATTCCCCAGCATCAGGATAACTTTGTCAGTTATGAAATAAATCTTTTCGAAAAACACTGGTTTATTTGTTCATTCAGCTCATATGTGCGTGAGCAAAGACTATAGGTGTCTGTGGTGTGTGTCTAGGTATGTGCTTCTGTGTGCATGTTCGGAAGGCTCAGAGTTAGGGCTGATCTTTGATGGCCATCTGATTTGTCTTTGTTTAACACACTGTTCACTGTCCTTTGAAATGTAGTAAGGCCCAATCTGTATAGACAAGCCCACAGGAGGCAGACTGTCTCTGAGATGAAGCAGACCCTTCCAGAGAGCCGCTGCTCATTTCAACCTCTCTGTTTATTTCTACATCACCTCCTAGTCTGGAGGACAGGACCAGGAACGGAAGAAGACAAAGCGGAGGGGAGACCTGTATTCCATCCAGACCTCCCTCATTGTGGCTGCACTCAAGAAAATGCTGCCCATTGGTTTGAACATGTGCACTCCAGGCGATCAAGAGCTGATCTCTCTCGCAAAGTCACGATACAGCTGTGTAAGCTGCCCATCTGACCGGGCTGAGCATGTAATGCAGGTAGTGCAGTAGGTGCTTAGTCCCTGAAGCATTAGTCCTCCTTCCCCCAGGGTGGTATGGGATAAGATAAACAGAAACCAAGGTGTATAGAGGTAACATGTCCTCATTTTAAAAGTTGATCTGGAAGAAACTCTGTCTGCTGCTACAGTTTTCTGTAATCCCCCCCCCCCCTCTTTTGGTAACCCCCCCCCCCGTTTTTTTTTTTTTCTGAGGGAGAGCCCAGCAAAACTGTATACTGACTATCCATATATCTTTGTACTGTACATCTCTATGGTGATCTCTGCGATTAAATTTAACATCTTTTTTTTTTTTTTAACCCCACAGAGGGACACAGATGAAGAGGTTAAAGAGCATCTGCGGAATAACTTGCATTTACAGGAAAAGGTGATACTTTGGGAAGAAAACAAGAATTCACACAGGCTTTCTTTCAGGCTACAGAGTTCTAGCCCCCCACTTAGTTTACTTAAATGTTTTAAGTGTGTTCTAAACACAGTCTTGGAGGATTTGTGCTTAACTAGTAGAAATAGCTCTCTGATTTTCATTTTTGTCTTTGGTTCTTGATTTTTGTTCATTTATTTGCTATTACAAAGAGGCTGCAAAGAGGCATCCAATAAGGCATGCCTTTTCTTCCCATTATGCAAACATAAAGCCATACCCCAGGGATTTAGGTTCTGTCTCAGATATTGTTGACTATGAGGCTTATTAAATAGCAAAATGGACACCAGGGAGGAATGTTAGCACCTCCTATTCTAGAAGTATTTTGAAACAAAATAATTTCATAATCTCAATTTGATGTCATTTAAAACAATTAAGATAGAATTTTGATTGTAAAAGTTATTTGAGGTGGTCAGCAGATGGCATAATTGTTACATTGCTGGACTCTCACATGGCCAACCATGGTTCAAGTACTGGACCTGGTGGCTTGAAATTTGCACCAGGCACATGTGCATGCGTACCCAAAATCCCAAGAGGAGAATGGAGGAGAAGGGATTGTGATGTAGCCATCCCCCTGGGGAAAGGTGATTTCTTGCTTTCTGTCTCTCTCTCTCTCTTTCTAGTGAGCACCTTATAGCAAAAAAAACAAAAAACAAAAACGAAAACAAACAAACAAACAAAAAAAACCTCTCTTAAAAAAAGATAAAGCTATTTGAGACTTTCTCAGATGCATTAATCCAAGCAGTTTTCCTCAAACACATTATGCTCTAAGAAGAATTAAACTAATATGAAAAGCCTCTCCTTTGCACCCCAACCATACAGGAATGGTGTGTAAAATATACTACAAAAAAAAAGCAAAATAAATAAATCTTTTCTTCCAGAAAAAAGAAGACACTCTAAATCATAATAATGAGAAGTTGATAATGTTGGAAGAACTCAGAGTTTACTAGGCCAGATATTTACTTAACACTAGCCTTGAACCAGAGGAGCGCAGGAATCTTCTGCAGGAAAAAAAAAAAAATGAAATCACTTAAGAGAATCTCCACCTCCTAAACTATATGTTGAAATGTCAATTAATAAACTCTTCCTGAAAACAAGCCTATATTTAAAAAATTATTAAGCATATAAGGAAATTGGAGAGTCAGTGAATGAAAAAAAAAAAGGTGGCAGGTATAAGGAATTATAGAAAGGAATTTAAACATAGAGTTAAAACATTTAAAGAGGGAGCAGCAGATGGCATAATGGTTATGTTGCTGGACTCCCAAGTAATTGACTGTGGTTCAAGTCCTGGACCCGGCAGCTTAAAACTCATGATGGGTCCATGTGCATGTTTCCCAAAATCCCATGAGGAGAATGGAGGAGAAGGGATTGTGATGTGACCATCCTCTTAGAGGGGTGTTTTCTTTCTTTCTGTCTCATAAGCAAAAGCATGCACTCTATTGCAAAAATCTCTCTTTAAAAAGAAAAAAAGATAGCTAAAAGAAGCAATAGAGTTAATTACACAATAATTGGACATTATCTTTTTTAATAGAATGGGAGTGGGTTTGAAAAAAAGATTTCACAATAATTATTTTTAAATTTTAAAAATAGTCATTGAAATTAAAACCCAGTTAATGGGCTATAAAATAACAGGCTAGACACCACTGAAAAGACAATTTATAAAATGGAATACTGCTTTAAGGAAATCATCTGAAGTATAACAGAAAGATAAAAGAATGAAAAATATGACAGAAACAGTAAGGACATGGAGGCCAGAGTGAAAAGTTCCTACATAGTTGCTACCATCTTCCAGAGAGAATAATGGGGAAAGTAAGAGGGGGACAATAGTAGAAGAGAGTCTTTATTACTAAAGAACCACCATAGGAATAAAAAGCTATCATTACAAGAGGTACAGGAAATTGTTCATCTTCTGGGTATGCTTAAATTTTCAGTCTGATGACCCAGCTGTAAAATGGCAATTGAACCTCTATAAGGATGTTCTGAAAAGCGAGGAACCTTCTAATCCAGAAAAGACTGTGGAGCGTGTGCAGAGAATCTCAGCAGCTGTCTATCACCTGGAACAGGTTAGGAGCATCTGCCCTGAGGAGTGTGGAAACAAGACCACCCTGGGGACTACAAAGCTGTTCTTCACACTCAGCTCTCAGTGACTAGTGCCCTCCTCGGGATGAGAAAATAGGGAAAAGGGATCATTCCAGATTACCCTGAAGTATCTTGTCGGTATCTCATAGTAGTTGACCCCTCAGTTCTTCCCTTTCACAGTGTTTTATGAATTCTTGCCATTAGCTCAAATGACTGGTTTAAGTTCCCTACCCATTTGTAAAGCTGTTGTTAAATAATAAGTGGCTGAAAGCAGTTTGGAAAAGGAAAAACCTAAGACCTTCAAGAACCAAATCATCTTTGGCTGGGAATGTTCTACTGATTAGAATTGAGAACCCAAAATTTTTCCAGGGTTAAGAAGTCTAGGCTGTGGGTAATTATTTTTTGTCACCCATAAGGAGAGCCTAGTGTTCATTTACCATTTGATTTCTTCTCAGGTGGAACAGCCTTTGAGATCCAAGAAGGCTGTCTGGCACAAACTGTTGTCAAAGCAACGGAAACGGGCAGTGGTGGCTTGTTTCAGGATGGCACCTCTCTACAATCTGCCCAGGTAAGTATTCTGTCATCTTCCTCTGGCTCGTGAGCCAGTTGATGGTTATTAAGGCATCCTTCCACCGCTCTGCTTTCTTCTGGCCCTACACTCTTCATCCAAGGAGTAGAAATTAGAGTCTTTGGCCCATGGAGTTATTACTGTCTGCATAGTTCAATGGCCTACTAAGGCAATCAAGGTAAGCATAAAAACTGAAGCCAGGTAAGACTTTCTAGTGCCCCAGGCCCATTCAGTTCACCATTTTGCACTATAATGTCAGCCAAGTAAACTCATGGAGGCTCTCTGTTTTTGCTGAGGTGGAATTCTTTGTGAGCATATAAAGGCTTCTGGAAAATGGAACTGTTTTCCAAAATACTTTACCTCTAATTCCATTGACAGGTCAAAGAGTAATTTTCTGCTCAGGCACTTGACACAAAATTACTATTTCTTCAGCAAGTACACAAATATAACTTGAGAATCCTTCAGTGCAGCATATTTGCAGTCAAGATGAAGAATGAATAGAGGGACCAGCAGTTAGTGTAATGGCTGTGTTGCTTAACTCCCAAGTAGTCGTGGTTCAAGTCCTGGTGGCTTAAACTCATGCCGGACACATGTGCATGCATGCCCAAGATCCCAAGAGGAGAATGGAGGAGAAGGGATTGTGGCATGGCCATCCCCACTGGGGGGTGATTTCTCACTTTCTGTCTCTCTCTGTAAAGCGCACGCACCCTGTAGCAAAAACCTCTCAAAATAAATAAATAAATAAATAAATAGAGAGCATCTAAGAGGCCAATCAGAGCACAATGCCTTTAACTGGGTGTTTTAACCCTTGTGTTGAGGCAAAAAATTATGTGTAGACTTTTCTATCAGTAACAAACTGGACTGTTATCAACAACTGAGACTGACACAGGGTTTTTGGTGATATAGCTGCAATCTATGAACAAAAACGGTGATTGAATATCAACCTGTGCTGAATCAACTTTCAAATCAATAAGAAAAATCCTCCCTGACCAGAGAAAGTAAACTAACTTAGATAAGTACATTCTGAATCCCATATGAATAAATGAGTTTCTGTAGAATATTTCATTAAAGACAGTTAAACACTTGACATTTTGCTTTCATCAAATTGTGTATCATGGCCATACTCTGTCCAAAGTGTCCTTTAACCCTTTCCTGAGCCAACTGGCCGACTGAGTTTTCCTGGTTGGGTCTTTGAGATGATGGAGAATCATGGGACCACACCTGCTCCAACAGGTATCTCTCAAGAAAAAAAGACTACCCATCTTTAGAAGAGAATGAAACACCCCAAATCTAGTAGAATTCATGAATAAAAAGTTGACAACATTAAGTCAAGTAGTCGTGGGCATTAACGCTACTAAAGTTCTGATAGAAAAGTGAAATTCATAGCTCAGTAGACAAACCAAAAATGTGAAGCGTTTTTATTTGCTCTCTAGAAGTGACAAAACATCAGAGGCATTCACTTTTGTCTCTGGTTGAGGTGCCTACTTCATTCTGCACTAACATGTTTTTCAGAAGAGCCCAGTTCTAGGCATGTTTTTACAGGATCAGACGAATGAGACAGAAATTATATCTCTCAAAACACAAGCTTTTTTTTTTTTTTTTTTGAAATCCACTCAAAATATTAGTACCACTCTTACATATTTGGGCTGCTGCTTCAGTAATTTTACCCCCTGTATGGGTAAGAATAATTATAAGAATTCACTATATCCTTGAAGGAACATGACCATTCTAACCAGGTTGTGTTAGAGAGGTTGCCTTGGGTATTTTGTCTAGTGTAAAGGATTGTAAGTAGATTTCATAACAATAGTATCTAACTAAGAAGATGATGATGGAGCCACCACTACCACTCTTCCCTATTTTATGATCACCTAAACTGCATGGATTCTTCTAAAGGGCCAAAGAGACTCATTGTATTATGCCGAATCTGTTTCTCTGATATTTGTTTTTAAAAGAAAATTTGTATGCTTTTCTCCAGACACAAAATTAACAATTTCTTCCTGAGCACCTTTCAACTGGTTTGGCTGGAAAAGGTTAATGAAAAAACTCAATATGACAGGCTTATACCCATTTTAATGGTAATGTAACCTGTGGAGAAACCTGCTCATTCTCTGCACTATTCTCCTTTCTTGACCTTGATTTAATGGTACCATAAAAATACACATTTGTACAAATTTTTAAAAGGATTCTGATTGGTCAGATTTTGAAGAAAAACAGCAAGTACTGTATTCTACCAGAAACCACATCTTAATGACTCTGTTGTTGACCTTGTCTTCTTTCACCCCTTCCCTCCTCACCACTCTCTTCACATATGATAAATGTTTAGCAGGCATTTAGCGGCTTATATTCCCAGAAGTCAATTTTGGCTGATAGGGAGTAACTCATGTCAGTTATTTAGTGTTCTCAGACACCAGGGGCATAGCTAGAACCCAGAGGCTCACAGAAGACCTGCTGTGACACAGCATGCCCATGCTGGCCTTCCTAAGTCAACACTGGAGCACCTTCCCAGTGTGGTTACTTGGAGAATGAAAAGAAGCCACATTTGGATATTTACAGTATGTCTGAGACTAAAACGCTCACCATCACCACGATTTATTAATAGATTGGATTACCTGGGAGGGATCTGCCTAAAGGAATAACTAAATTGTTGTATGAAGTAAATACTTCAGACTGTTACCTGGTATAATGATTTGTTCCTTATTGAAGGGGAAATGGGATAAAGACCCTGAGGCAGATTCACATTACAGTTACCACCATGTCTTGCACTAAAAATTGTTATTTTCAGAAGGTATTCCAGATATTGGGACCAGCAGTTAGCGTAATGGCTATGTCGGTGGACTCCCATATAGTCAACCACAGTTCAATTCCCAGACCTGCTGGCTTAAACTCACGCTGGGCACGTGTGCGTGCATGCCCAAGATCCTGAGAGAAAAATCAAAAAGGGATTGCGGTGTGGCCATCCCCCCAGGGGATGATTTCTCATTTTCTGTCTGTCTCTGTTTGTCTTTCTGGCGAGCACACGTGCCCTATAGCAAAAACCTCTCCACAAAAAGAAAAAGAAAAAAAAGAAGAAGGTATTCCAGATATTTAGGACCCACCATGTTAAGGGATTCTGGTTTCTTTGAAATGAATGCTTATGGCATAGTGCTTACAGCTACTCTGACCAATCAGAAGATAAAAATTGTACAAAAGGCTGTACTGCTTACTAACCATTAACCACCCAAGCTAAAATAATGAGTTCCATGGATCCCTCTTGACCTCACTCTCACCCTTCCGCTCAGGCACCGCTCTATTAACCTCTTCCTCCATGGCTATCAGAGATTTTGGATAGAAACAGAGGAATATTCCTTTGAAGAGAAACTAGTACAGGACTTGGCTGTAAGTACTGACTCAACTGAGAACAAATATGAGTGTGAATGAATTTGAGTTTTGTATTCACGTGTGTGCTATACCCGTTAAATCTTCACAAAGAACTGAATTTATAAATGTGACAGGAACTAACCCTATGAATTCTCAGAGGAGGACATGATAATGATCACAAGAGCCAGAGGATGAATATTCACATGGAGGTGCTAATACTACTCTCATCCTCATCATTGTCATCATTAACAACTAATATTTCTTGAGATGCACAGCGTGTCATGTGGAGTTCAAGCTAAGTTAAGCTTTGAGCACCATTGGTTGCAGGAGGCCGCCCATCCAGGATCCCACCTGTCTAATCAGTAGTTCTGCTTTGGGAAAGACACATCCAAATACCCTTTCTCCATCTCACATTTCCATATTTGGCCCTTTGGTAAATGGAGCATGCCTCGTCTCTAACAGACCTTGTGCTTTAAAACCACGCAAAACAACACACAAGGGGGGAAGCCTATTGCAGAGGCACAACAGAGCTTCGTCCTGGTTCAGAAAGAACACAAGCCTTCCTCTCCCTTGGCCAGCCCATGGTTCTTTCTCTCCTTACTTCACCCACTTGTCTTTTTTTCTTATCACTTACTCTCACTATTGGCCTTGCCCTTTGTTTCTTATATTCTTTTCTACATTTGTCTTTCTTTCCTATTACCCTTGCTTTCTTTTTCTCTTTCCTTCTTTTTTTTCCTTTTAAGTCTTTCTCCCCCATTTCCTTCCATTTGTCCTTATGTCCTTTGTTCTTTTCACATACTCCTGTCAGTGAGAAAGGCAGGTCCCTGTTTTTCCCAGTTTCTTGATCAGCAGTTGACAGTAAGTATCACTTCAGCCCTCTAGTTCTGAACCGTTCACACACTATGTAGTTCTCACCAATTTACCAAATGTGGTCAGTCCAGTGGCTCTGCCACTGCTAGAAAATCCACTTTTGCCTCTGGCATTAGCTGTTATTTCCATTTCTGTAAAAGGGGATAAAGAAAAGACTTGATAGGAAGGGAAGTGCAAGGCTTACAGCTTCAGGAGGGCATCTCTTGAGAACAAGACTTTAGAACCAAGAGTAAGATTAATAAAGAGACATGCTTTGCGGGGTTGAACCTAGGATAGCTATCAACCCAAAATGGCACCAATACCTTGTAGCTCTTGCCCCATCCCTATCTCCAGCCCAGTTCTCCAAGAGAAATTTCAGATGTTGGCCAGGCAGACCCAGCCACTCAGTGTCTCTGCAGGGTTTCCCTCCTGAACTTGGGTGCCCAGAGCTTGCATGAGAGTTCTGCTGACTAGGATCTGTGGTCAGCTTTTGGCTTTGTCTTTTATTTTGTTTTAACCTAAAATTGGAATGTTTCTTTTGTTGGCTAGAAAAAAAAGTATATATCTATACATACACATATCTCCAAACCTTGCATCTCTGGGGCTTCTGTCCTGTAATACATGTATGATTCAGTGGTTTCTTTTTGTGCTTTTAGTCTGATGCACTCTGCGCTTTGCGCTTTACCTTCTCTTTGCATGCAGTTGTATGGCAAGTGCTGAAATTGGTGCCTAAAACCTATGTCTGTTGGTTTCTGTAGAAATGTCCCAAGGTGGAAGAGGAGGAGGAGGATGAGACGGAAAAGTATCCTGACCCACTTCATCAAATCATTCTTCATTTTAGCCGTAATGCTCTCACAGAGCGAAGGTCAGCCTCCCCCAGAGTCCCCTGTCTGTCTAGGCCCAGGGGCATTGTGTCTTCACTTGAAGATGGCAGCAGGGGAAGGGGGATGCAGATTTGAGCTGCCCTATTCTTGGCCATCCAGAATTGCCTAGAGAAGCTACAACAAGCCACAGCTCTTGCGTCATAATGCCACACACTGAATATGAAGATAAAACAGCAACCCTCGTCTTTGTATTTCATGTCACACCAGTGCTTATTCAGATGTTCATTTATTTCTAAGAATCAGAGTGCAGAAGGGGATTTTCAAATTAATTCATTAGTACATATAATGTAATATTTAAAAGATTATTTGGGGCCTGCAGGTGGCGTGGTGGTTAAGGTGCTGGACTACCACATGGCTAGCTACAGTTCAAGTCCTGGACCTAGCAGCTTGGTTTCTCATTTTTTCTTTCTCTCTCTGGTCAAGTTAAAATAATAATAACAATAATAATAATAAATAAATAAATAAAAATGAAATAAACAGTTTAAAAAAGGACTCACTCTTTTCTGCTTGGTCCCAATAAAGTATCCTGCTAAATATCTTGTCCATTTTTTCCAGCAAATTGGAAGACGACCCTCTGTATACCTCCTATTCCAGCATGATGGCCAAGGTACACCTGGATTTTCTATTCATTGTCTCAGGCTTCCTTCCCTTTGATCTCTTCAGGCATGTGGAAACTGTCATGCGAATGGGAAGTCTGGGACTTGGTCATGACATAAGTCCCAGGCAGCACACAGTTCCTGTGCCATAAGGATGCCACTGGTAAACAAGTCCACCATCCTCTAAGGAAACCTCGGAACTTTGCAGAAAGAGAGTGCCAGTTGCCAGGTTTACGGCATAGCTGTAAAGCCAGCTAGGTGGGGCTCAGGCATACAGACTGTGTTTACACTCAGTGTTCAGGACACATCAAACAGTCAAAGCATCTGCAGGTGAAGAAAACAGGGTTAGAAACTAGAGGGATTTCCACGTACGACAAGTGATGACTCTGCTCTGTTGATATCATAGGAATATATTTTGAAAACATTACATAAATGTATCATCTTGCTAATAATTATGGTATAAATTCTTTGTCACTCAAATTTCCCCTTTTTGAACTGGGAAGATATGGGAATGACCTACAGCGTGTGTGTGTCGCAGTGGGAGGGACTAGAGGGAGAGTCCAGTGTTTCGGAAGATGCAGCGTGATTGGAAATGTTCTCTTTGTGTTACCTTCAAGAGAAGAGATTATGACCTCTAGAATACAGAATTAATAAAGGAACTACTCCTTCCCAAATGAAAAACTTCCCTTTTAGGCAGAAAAGGGGACATAGTGGGATTCAGCAGCACCTATTCCTCTATTCAGTTGCACCCCAGGGCTACAGTGGGAAAGGGGGGCTTTCAGATTCACATCCTAGGAATCCCAATCTTACTGCCATGCCCCTGGTGCTGTGTCTAAAAGGGGCACCTGCCTGCACTCCTACCTCCCATTCACGTGAGAACTTCACTAGGGAAAGGAGTTTGGGTCTGTGGTTAAACGAGATAGGTTCCTGTTGATTGTGATCTTGGTGGCCCTGTTTCTTATTTCTGAACCTCTTGGTGACTGCAAAGATGACACGTAGAGTAGACTGTTGCCCTTGGGGTGCAAAATATTCCTGGTTTTACAAAATACTAAGGTCCTGAGGTACCTGTGAATTATATCCTGTTTGCTGCCTTTACAGAGTGGAACTGAATTTTGTTTACTAGACAGACTCACCTTTCCTTTGGTTGTCTGTCTCCTCCTTTCCCTGTTCCATGGAATCCAGAGTTGTCAGAGTGGAGAGGATGAAGAAGAAGAGGAAGACAAGGAAAAAACTTTTGAAGTAAGTTTTCACCAAGATTAAAAAATGGCCACCTTCAGTGCCAACAGGCCAGGCCTTCAGATGTGGGTGCTGACATTAGCAAGGGCAGCCCAGTCACCATGTGTGTCTGAGTTGGCAAAGCTGCTTTGATAAGGCTCGCCTGTTAGCTGTGGTTCTGTCATCTGTCTGACAACAGGTAGCAGGCAGCAGGCTAGCCAGCAAATCACCCCACTGGCTTCTTGTTGTGGGAAAAGTTCTACTTTTGCTCAAGTATGGTAGCAAGAGCCTTGGAAGTACACACTGAGACATCCAAAAATGGAACACCAGAGCCATGAAGATACTGGGGTGGTTTTTGCTTCACTATTCTGTAAATGCAAATTGATAGCAATTTTGATTTTAATGTGATGTGGGACCCTGAAACTGCCAAGATTAAGATACTAGTTTATTTGTATTCTTTTATAGGCAAAGTACATAACTAAACTTCTGGAAAGTTTTGACATTGCAGTAATGCCTGTGTGGTAAAAGGTGTCTGTTAACTGTGGGCTGAGTATTTTATTAAGAGATAAGTGGGCATTTCTGACATTGAGACAGGTATATTCAAAGTTAACACCTTGAGGGCTAGAAAGTGGTATATTGGTTAAAGTGCTGGACTCCCACATAGCTGACCAGTTTGAGTCCTGGACCTGGTGGCTTGCTTTCTCGCTTTCTCTTTCTCTCTGGTCAAGTTAAAATAATAATAATAATAATAATAATAAGTGGAATTAAATCTTTTAAAAATACTCAGCAGGCTGTTCTTTATGACAATATTGACAACAAACACATTTGATCTTAGGGACCTCCTATAATTATAGTATCAAAGGAGGCATGATTCTGTTATGCATCGTACAAAAGGTAGAGAATTCATCTTCATAGTGGGAATGAGTTATGGGTGAACAGTTTGGGGAAGCTGAATGGTGTCCAAAACTAAACCTCAAGGATCTGCTTTATTGGAAAATATGTGTGTTGCCTTTAGGCATCTAAAGATTCAATCTTAACTAATCTCATCATGGTGCATTCTCTGGTGAGGGGTTGGATGGGGAAAAAGATTTTTCCCTGTTATTTTTTTTCCCCGTAGGAGAAAGAGATGGAGAAGCAGAAAACCCTGTACCAGCAAGCTCGGCTGCACGAGCGTGGGGCCGCAGAGATGGTGCTTCAGATGATAAGCGCCAGCAAAGGTGATGTCTCTGACTTCGAGATGGGCCTGTGTAACTGCAGAGAATTCACATTATGACATAAAGTCATTATTAAAGAGTCCTGAAAAAGCCCAGGAGGTGTGATTTACTCTGTTTCCTTGGTGATTCAATCAAATCTTCACCATGGCAGGTGAGATGAGCCCCATGGTGGTTGAGACGCTGAAGCTGGGGATTGCCATTCTGAATGGAGGCAACGCTGGTGTGCAACAGGTAATGGGGGCTTGCGGGAGGTTGTGCAGAGTTCCTGGGGCATTCCCACTTGACAACTGTCATGCTTCTGGGGAAGAGGTGTTGCTACTATGGAGAGAGGCTGCCAAAATCACTTTGCTGGTGTCTGTCCCTAGTGGCCAATTATCTAAGAGTAGCTGGGAATACTGTTAAAATAGGCTTCTATAGGCAAAAAGGGGATTTTTATCCTGGGCTAAAAGAGAAAAACATACTGTTTTTTCATCAGTAGATTGTTTCCTGCAGAAATGCACTTTAGAGGAAGTTTTCTAAGCCTTAGGGCTTTTTTTTTCTTAAGCCCTATCACTTGTTAGTTGCCTTACTGTCAACAAGGAGTTTTATCTGTTAAATGGGGGAGGGGGGCGCAACCCCACACATCTGTTATTCATTCATTTATTCATTTGTAATTTATTGAATAACAATCAATGTTCCTGATTACTAACCATGCCAAGCTCTGCAGTACGGACTGAGGGCATACCAGTGAATAATACAAATAAAAGGTCCTGCCAGGATGTATCTTACATTCTGGTGAGTGTTAAATGAGACAACACACAGAAGCACCTGGCACTTGGTGTTCATGCAGCAGTCTGAATTGTAAGTGGCTGCGGAAGACAGGAATGCACCAGTGACTCTCAGGTACTCCAGGCTGCAGCTAAAGGGGTCTGTGTGCACAGAAGTGAAATTCCAAACAGTCCCTTGGCATTTGTAAGGATTATGTCCCAAAGCCTGTGAGAGTCTCCAAATTCAAAACTATCATTATTGCATATAAGTTTTCTCAGCCTTTAATTCATTCCAAATATTTTTTTAAACTGAAAATTAGCATTTTCTAAGTCACCTGTCACTTTCTGCTCTCTTCCACTACCACCTATCGGTTGACTTTCTTACAGGGCTTTTTTTTTTTTTTTTCTCCCCTCAGTCAGACAAAGTTCCTGTCAGAGAGTCTCATTGAGAAAGATATACTGAGCTTTCAACATTACTAGCTAGACCTTGCCTGTGTGCTGATTTGAGAGCATGAGCCAGTCAGCTTCCACCTCAACGACAGTAAAACATTATTGTATCATGGTCCTGGCACTTGTTCCCAAATAGAGGGAGACTTCGAACCGTAAATCCATCAGTATCAAAGGTCTACTAGCCCTAGCAGTATATCAGTGGGCCATTATAAAATAAACATGGTCAAGACATTCTGAATCCAGAAGGAGGGGGTGGGACATAAGCACATGCATGGCTTTTCAAGTCCATGGGTAATTCTGATTTTGAGCCCTGGATCTATTTCACCGTGGCTAGGAATGTGCTATTTCTCCATCAGGATAAGGAAAGTCAGCACTGTAACACCATGTTAATTGGTTTCTCCTTTAAAATGTGTCTCTCTTGCAGAAAATGCTAGATTACCTAAAGGAGAAAAAGGATGCTGGATTCTTTCAAAGCCTTTCTGGTCTTATGCAGTCTTGTAGGTAAATAAAGGGAAATCATCCATAGCATTTTTTTTTTTTAACTGGGAGGAGGCACAAGATAAGCTGGCCTATCATGGAGTTATTGAGAAAGGAGTCCCCTACTGTAGAAAGCTAAGAGGGTAGGAGCCAGCTCTGTGGCACAGTAGCAATGCGCTGCCATAGAAAAGCCTGATCCCAAATGGGGACCCCGGTTTGAATCCCCACTCCATTTGGTCTGAAATACACAGCGCATGCATGTGTGGGCTAGAGGAAGGGTATTATGGCATGACCAAATCTCGTGGAGGGCTCATCTCTCTCAATATCTCTCTCACGCACATGCTTTAGCATGAATAAAGAAACAAAAGTTAGGAGGGCAGATATTCACCTTGTGTTCTTTAGCGATAGCATACAATCCCCACTGTTGTTTTGTTTGTTTTTTGTTTTTGTTTTTTAGGTTTTTGCTAAGAGAAACAGAGATATGGGAAGTGAGAAAGTACCCCCTGGGGGCATGGCCACACTGCAATCCCTTCTCCTCCATTCTTCTTATAGGATTTGGGGCAGGCATGCACATACCCCCAGTGTGATTTTTCAAGCTTCTGGGTCCAGGACTTGAACCATGGTTGTCCATGTGGGAGTCTAGCACCTTAACCACCATGCCACCTGCTGCCCTCCAAGCCCCTCCTTGTTGTTAATTGCCCTTCCTTACTTCCTTTTTTTTTTGTTCCGTTGTTTTCCTAGAAGGCTATTGCATATTGAGTTTCACCTCAAACATATCTTCCCATAAAAGTCAAACCAGAAAAGAATGGAAAAGAGGGAGAACCTCTCACTGTAATTCAAAGTTCTGTTTTCATTAGACTCATTAGACACTTTGTTCACCTTCATTGTTAACAATTCTTTGAGGTTGAATAGGTGTTTCATGGATACATATTTTGACATGTCCATTTGACAGAGGCGCATCCTAGCATGGGAACAATCTATCATAGCCTAGAAAAATAAAGCATTGAACTTTCAGTTTATTTTACCAAGCGGTGTAAGCTGCTCCTCTTGGCTGACCTTCTGAGAGTAAAACAATACATAACCAAGAGTCCTAAGTTCCCCATACTCGCTCATTTCAGAAATGAACTGGCAGCCTAAGAAAAGCGTCAGCTGATTCTCAACATTGCATACATTTTTGAATATGTGTTTTGCAAATGATTCTAAAACAAGTCAAAGTTATCTAGCTCATGTGCCTCCAATTAATATGCTTTAAAATGGAACACTATGTTTTCCATTTGAAATTGGAGCATGGGCATCTTTCTTTCAGTGGACTTCACAATTTTGCTAACTATATTTGATTGGGTAAACACTGTACCCTGGGGCAGTAGGGAGCATATTTGAACTGCAGTACATTCCCTTGTTCTTAGCTCTTTTTTTTCCCCCACCAGCAGTCTATTCATTTATGATCTCCCGCAGGAAAAGTAAATGTAATATTGCCAGACCTGACTCACTGAGAATAAAATAGTACATGTGGATTCGGAGATGGCACAAATCAAGACCTTTCAGATCTATATTGCTCATGAAGTTCCCCAGTAATTTTCTAAGAGTTCTTCTGCTATTCTATAACACTTAAAATGACTAAACCAATTCACAATAATGGCATGGAGGGATGGGTGACGTACATGCACTTAGATGCCAACTGAGTTCTAGCAGAAGTTTTAAGATATCTTACTGGTTTCGGTGATTCTAAAAACTGTGTGTGTGTGTGTGTGTGCGTGCAAGCACGCATGTGCATGTACATACACGTAAGATATTGAAGCAGTAGAGAAATTAAAACATTCAGAAATGAGTCTTTAGAAATAGAATAAGAATCAGAAATGTCACACAGATTCAAAATCAAAACTGCTGCTTCAGAGTAAATATGTCCAAATGTCTTTTTCCATGTTACCCTCCCCTGACTGCAAAACCAAAATAGGATGGTTTATATTACTGACCAGACCCTTTTTACAATAGTATCTGGGTGGGGAGGGGACAATAAAATGGCAATGGAAAAGCCACTGTTTTTTCTTTAAAAGTCACCAAGGGCTACCCCGTGTTCTTGTGGTTAAGGAAACTAGTTCCCACATGGTTGATTGAGGTTCAAATCCCAGCTCTGGCAGCTTGAAAAATACACCAGGTGAATGTGTATGTGTGCCCATATTCCCAACAGGACGTAGAAATGGAGGAGAAAGGATTGTCACCACACCCTGTTAGGGAATGCCTTTTCTCTCTGTGTATGTGTCTCTCTCTCTTGTGTGCACACACACTCTCTGGCAAATAAATGAAAAGAAAAAAAAAATGTTTACCTAAATTTCAGAATACAAGTGACTCACTAAAAAGGGAAAAGAGATATTTGATTTTTCCCTTATGTCTTCCCAACCTGACAGTCGTTTTCTTTGCCCAATAAACAGAAGGAAGGCTAGGTCTTTTAGAGTCAGAATGGACGTGGCCACAAGCATCTCTAAGAGCCATCTTTTTGGAAGAACTTATATCCTAATCAGATTGAAAAAAGAGTTCGAGTCTGTTAGTAAAATAGAGTGAGCCCTACTTGAAAATATGATCATACAGCACTCTTACTACCACACTTCAGGTCATACTAGGCTTCATGGCTAAGTAAAATTAGGTGACAGCTATGACTGGAAAGTTTGGGGAAAGTGGAGACAAAAACAAAGGCCACTTGTCATAAATTCAGGAACACCTAATGACACATTGCCTGTAGAAAGTTTAATCTTGGCTTCTATGGGCCCCTGAATGATGCAAGACTCATTAAAGAGTGTGGATTTTGAAATCTGTTAAGTTTGTGGCTCCCTCCATCAGCACTCATCCTGAACACTGGAAACCACAATTCCAGATGAAGTTCAGAGAAAGTAGGTAAAACTAGAGGCTCTAGTTAGTAGAGCTGAAAGTAAACTCTTGAGAAATCATAGAAACGGAGAACTCCTATACTTGGGGAGGCTTTATAACTCTATAAGAGAGGATTCACACTGGACAATGACAGAACCATCAGTGTTTATGGCCCCTCCTGTACGTGTGACAAAGAGTGAGGTATAACCCTCAGACAACACCGCTTGATACAAAGCCAAGTGACCATCAGCCTTTCAACCACTCTGGAATGTGCTAGTCTATTTGTGACAATACAGGGACAGAAGCTTCTTAGGCAATAGATGCACTGGCATTAGAAATATAATGTTGCCTGAACCTTGTCATCTTGTGTCTATTAACAGTGTCCTTGATTTGAATGCATTTGAGAGGCAGAATAAAGCTGAAGGCCTGGGAATGGTAACTGAAGAAGGAACACGTAAGTAACTGATAAATGTGAAGGTCATTCCCTTCCTGATTAAAATGACTATTTCTGGTTAAAGCTCCATCTCACTGCTTCCTAATCTACACAGACTTGCCCTGTTTCAGCAAAATGTGTCCATCAATAGCTTTGATAAAGCCTGTAGATGTATTCTTAGAGCCAGTTTTAAGTAAAGAGTTTTTTTGGTGTGTGTGTGTGTGATGTTTATGGTTTTCTTACTTTATATTCTTCTATTTTTCTTTTATCACCAGTCATTGTCCGTGAGCGTGGTAAGTTTGAGTCCCTGGCTTGAGTTCCTACCATGTGTGTGAATCCTAAGAGAGCTCATTTAATTGCTTCAGTGCAGACACATTTTAGGCTTGGTGGTTGCATGTGGAGTTCAACTCAGCAGTCTGATGCTTAATTAAGGAAGTGTCTTCCATCTGTAAAGCATGGGTTATGGACTGTGAACTATTTACTGCCACTCTCTTACTTGTTTTTATTACAAATGCATCTTGGGGCTACATATTTGACCTTTTTGGGGGATTGTGCTCTGCAATCTCAGTTCTGGTTTAATGGAGTTTATCACCATTCATCCAGAGTTCCTCTGCCAAACCATTCTGAGACAGCCCCTTTATCATTTATTGTAGTCATTTGCATTAGAAGGTATTCTGTTTTCAGATGTCAAACAAATACTTAGCAATATTTTGTGTTTTCAAGGTGAAAAAGTACTCCAGAATGATGAATTCACACGCGATCTCTTTAGATTCCTACAGCTACTTTGTGAAGGGCATAACAGTGGTAAGTGGAACAGATTGATTTGTCAAGGGAAAACAGCATTCAGGTGAAAAATTTATAATTCAGTTCAGTATACCCCATTTGATACAACCAGTTGCTAACTCAAGGTCATCAGTTAATCTATTGCTCAATAAGAAACTACATGTAAACAAACCTCTAACTTCATGCCTAATGTTATTTAGTGCCACCAAGGCTAAACTGCTTCCAGAATCTTCAGATAGTGAATTTAAATACCAGGCCCTTTTTATGTTGTCTCTTAGGGCTCATTAAGTCTAAGGTTCTAGTGTCTCCAGGTTGGGAGGGCTCAGAGCAGAGCTCTGACTTGCAAGATCTGCCAGGATCCAACATAATTGTCTTTGAAAGACTTTTCACATAGTGTGTCTCTTCTGAGCTCAGCTGCCAGGGCATGCCTGGCTCCCTTGGCTTGAGGGAACAAGCTCTGACTCAGCACTGATGCTCTTAGACTTTCAGAACTTCCTGCGGACTCAGATGGGCAACACTACCACTGTCAATGTCATCATCAGCACTGTGGACTACCTTCTACGTCTGCAGGTAAGCAGGAGGCCTTGGACAGTGGCACCTCTCACCTCTACTCACTTCTACTTCCAAAAGTTAAAGACAATTACACAGGTTCAGAGGAAGCCCAAGAGACACTCGGACTCCAATAAAGAGAGCACTGTGGTCGATGTCCATACACACATGTTAGTGAAATTCCTAAAAAGTATGTTGAAGACTGAAGTAGCAGCAACATAGTAACTAAAACTGTAAGTGGCAGATACCATGGGGGGGAGTGCTTAAATATCAAGTCATCTATGATAAAATGCTGGTTTACTATTGTTTTGCTAATGAAAATATAGCCACAGTGCCTAAGAGCTATATAGAAAACAACCTATGAATGCAGAGAACAGATTTCACTAGGAAAAAGAGTTACACAAGGTGAGGGGAGTGAGTTGAGTTTATCAGTTCTTAGTGTTGAGAAGTCAGTTGATTTAATTGCTTAAATGAGGAAACTACACAAGTATCAAAAAGGATTCTATCTTCTCTTTGCAGATTTCTCATCCTGGTTCTACCACTTACTAGTGTGTAACCTGGAGCAATGTACCGAATCTCCCTGTGTTCCCATTTTCTAATATGTAGAATGAGTAGGACTTGTCTCATAGAGTAGTAGTAAAGACTGAGAGATTTAGCATAGATAACATGCTCAAAACAGTGTCTGCCACTTGTAGTTTTAGTTACTATGTTGCTGCTATTATGATTATTTGGATGATAATCATTAGTGTCTTTAATGCACATTTCTCACTTTGTATAGATTGTCTTATCGTAATCTCTCAGGTCCAGCTGAAGGCTATCCTCTTTCCTATCCATTCTACCCTAAGGAGGGGTGTTTGTACTCAAAAGATACTAGGTATAAGATCTTTTTGGATCGCAGAATCTCTGGTTCTGGTCATAGCAGAGCTCATAGAAACACAGGATTCTCGTGAACTTTTCCTGAACGCTGAGTTTAGCATCACTGATTGTACCCTGAGAAACACTGAACTGAATTGAAATGCTCACATTGTAAGCTAAACAATGCAATTGAATATATATACAAAAAAAGAAATAAATAAAAAAAAAACGTGATGGGGAAAAAATGGAATTAAAATATGGCTTATTTTGATGCAAAATAAAATGAAATCCATGCAAAAAAAAAAGAAAAAGAAAAAAGAAACACTGAACTGTACTTATTTGTTTTTAGGAATCAATCAGTGATTTCTACTGGTATTATTCAGGGAAGGACATCATTGATGAATCTGGACAACACAATTTTTCCAAAGCTCTGGCAGTCACCAAGCAGATTTTTAATTCTCTTACAGAATACATCCAGGTATGTGCTACAGAGTGCATGCTTGAAAATGAAGAGAACATTTTTAGTATTCTCATATTCTAGATTCCCTACAGAATATTTGGATTCACATAGTAGATTGTACATCCAGCCCTAATATTGACAATATTTCTTTTCTTTCAACAGGAACCAATAGTACCTATACTCACAAGAAGCTATTGTTTGTGAACCCCCCCACTATACCAGTTCATAGTATAGTCACACTTCATTTGCATATATCCAGTTATATTTGGCTCTCCCTTCTAGACTTAAAACATTTTGTGGACAGAAAGTATCTTATTCAGCTTAAAATTCCTCGTGTCTAAAACAGTATCTGGCACATCATAGATGTTCTGTTTGCATAGAGAGTGGAGTGAAGAAATAATTAGTAGAATGAAGGATAAAGGGATAGATGAAGTCATCTTGAGTAGTGATTAAAAACAGAACCCATGAGATCCTACTATTGGGTTGTCTGAAAAGTCATGACATATTTTGCCTAGAAAAACAAAAAATGTGTCATGGCTTTTCAAACAACCTACTAATTTGTCAGAAATTAATTCTATGGGAAAAGTACTTTCACAAGTACATACACTACATGCAGCTGCAGTCCAAAGTACAAGTGATTTTTGGATTAAATGTCTAGATCTTGCTGCAGTTTTTCTCCTTTTATACCATCCTCTGTTCCTTGCCTGCAGTGGTCTAGCTACTAAAAAGGACTGGAGGGTGTATTCAGGCTACTTGCTATAAAATCAGTAGCCGTAACATAGCTCTCTGTTACATAAGATTTTTTTAAGCAAAAGTAACCTTCATCTTCAGATTACCATCATCAGGATATTCATGAATAAGACTCTCATTCATCCATCCAACAAAACATCTAGCTTGTGTACTATACTGTGGTTCATGAAAAGAAGTATGTATATTGCCTCTACCCTTACAGTGCTTACAGTGCAATTAACAGAGGACATCTACATGAGGAAAATTGCCTGTTACAAGATGAGCATACATGATTTAAACATAATTATACAGGCTGTGCTTAACAAGCACATATGTGTGAGTTCAGAGGAAGCAAGGTCCTATGAGCCAAAGGGCTCAAAGTCTTCACAGAAACATGTGCATGAATACAGAGGAGGAAATATAGTCTGGGCTGGTTTGTATAACTTACAGAGACAGTATCGTGCATGGCTTCATGAGGAATTATGTCAGCATTTAAATCAATCTTGCCCAAACAGAAAAGAAAGGCAAGAGAACAAATGAGGAACATTTCATCCTTTTCCTGTATGCCTTCATTTCTTTCTCAAAGAACTTCCTGTATTCCAAGAATCCAAGAGTTTTTAGTGGATCTTTTGATTGAGCTGAAATTTGATATGATTGAGCTGAAATTTGTTCTGTGAAAAAACATCAAATCGACTACAGATCCACATGATGAGCCAATTGACAAACTCAAATCCTATTTTCTCAGTAAAATAAGCACCAAACGAAGACTGTCAACTCAAAAGGAAGATTTTAAGAGATGATTCTTTGGCACTGAAGCACTGGAAAGATGGACAGATAAATCTAGGAACAGTGATTGATCTGAAGTTTCACTGAGTGTGAAATACCTAAAGAGATCATTGACCATATTTTACAAGAATATGATTTGATCTCTGTGGAACAGATCCTAATCTTTGGAATTTTCCATGGAACATTTGATCCAAAAGTAGAGAAGAAGCTCAGTTTTGGTGAACATTTCTTTCAACAACCAATTTCATTCAAAAAAAAAAATCTAGTGGCATCTAAGGATCAGATATTGAGTGTGCATAAACAGTGATTCTTGAACAGGCTTAGGTGATTTGGAGATGTGGGCAATGTTTGTCCTGCTCAACTCTTTCTTTCTTGGGAATCCTGCCAAAAATTTTCTTCTTTTTTTTAAAGATTTTTGCTATAGGGCGCTTGCGCTTACCAGAAAGACAGAGACAGAGAAACAGAAAGCAAGAAATCACCCCCCAGGAAGGATGGCCACGCTGCAATCCCTTCTCCTCCATCCTCCTCTCGGGATCTTGGGCATGCACACACATGTACCTGGTGTGATTTTAAACCACTGGGTCCAGGACTTGAACTGTGGTTGACCACATGGGAGTCCAGCAACATAGCCATTATGCTAACTGCTGGTCCCTCTTTTAAAAAAAAAAATCATATATTTAATTTTAAAATTTTTTTTATATTTTTATTTCAATTTCTTTTATACATTCAGTCACATATGTCACTTAGCTTGTAAAGTGAATGTTCCAATATGAATACATTTCTCATCAGTCCAGTCAGGAATACTATACATGTTATCTTCAACAGATAATAACCCATTTCTTTGTCCCATGAATGTCTTGCCTCTCTATTTTTCTCCTTAATGCCTTTCCTCAGAATCCTGCCAAGAATTTTCTAGGTAGTATCTGTTTTAAAAACTTATTATTGAAGAATGATTTGGAAATTGACTAAGGGTAGATAAAACAGACTACAAGGAAAAGTTAAGAATAAAAAGTGTAGGTTTGATTTAAAAAAAAAAAAAAACTTTAAAAACAGGAAAGTTATTAACATGAAAAATGCAAAATGGTAATTAAGTCCTCCCTCTACATTTGCCTTTCAAAAACAAGAGATGGTATTACATCTGAAGTTTAGGTTAGTGATAAGAACATTCTGGAAGTGGCTAAACACTAGGATTATTACATAGATTTCTTACTTGTGGATAGCCAGGTGGTCATAACATTTATGTGTAGCTTTGCATGAAAACAATAGGTGGGTGGATCAGGGCCTGGTTTTCTGACTGTGAAATCCCTAGTGGTTTTTTTTCTAGACATGGTATCCTATAGTGGGGGGCTGAGGGCGAGGCAGGGGGAAGGCTAAATATTGAACTATGAGATATGTAACTTTGAAGAAGAGCTATCTACTCACATAGATAGGTGTCAAATGGCCTTAGAAGGACAAGTTTCAGAGCAACTTGTGATGTTTAAGTGAAGTAAGGATGTCCTCTTTTCCTTAGGGCCCTTGTATTGGGAACCAGCAGAGCCTGGCTCACAGTAGGCTGTGGGATGCAGTAGTCGGCTTCCTCCACGTATTTGCTAACATGCAGATGAAACTTTCTCAGGTACTGTGGCCCTGTTCCCCACATGTCATTGGTGTGAAACGCAAAGTCAGTCCTCATTTCTTGGTATTCTGTTGTAGCTATGGCTGCTTGATCAAAGGCTGGAAAAGCCATGCAGAGAAGGTCTCATTCTTAATATTGAGGGCCAAAATGGGAGACAGGAATGAATGCCCACTCCACCCCTGGGAAGGGGGTGGTCCCCAGACAGGCTTTGGCATGAATGCAGCTTCCTTCCTTGTGTCCTACCAGACTATCCCTTTTGTATAATTGCTTCATCACTTGCTTTCTATGGTGCCTAATCCTTTCTGCTTCCTTGTCACTGTTTTGTCCATTCACAAACATCAACTAGTCTTATCTGATCTGTTAAATGCTGCATGTCTCTGTAATCCATGTCTCTGTTCTCTCTCTCACCTTTGCCTTCCCTTCCCACTCCCCCCTCCACCTCCCATCTCTGCCTCCTCTTCTCACTCCCCATCTCTCTGGCAAGATGAATCGGAATTGCTCAGAGCATTTATTATGAACAAATAAATGTAGCATATGTTGTAGCTGATTGCCTCTCTCCATGGGAACACATGAGGGAGAACTTCAGGATATGTTTCAGGCTGATTAAAGTAACATTTGCAGCTTTAATTTAAACAATGTGTATATGAAATGTTTAAGGCTGTCACATCTGCCCCCTCTCTTCTGGAATGTGCTTTCATTTTTCCCCTTTTGACTCTGGCCTTATGGGAGGAGAGAGTTCTTGAGAGGACCGCTAGTTGGCAGTAATTTGTCCACACCTATGTCAGCCCAGGGCGGATGCTGTCGAGGCTCCAGAGACAAGAGCGCTGGCCCTGCCACCTCCTCACCAGTGACTTTAAAAAAGTCTCTTCCCCTTCCTGGTTTTACTGTTTCATCATCTGTAAAATATTTGCAGTTAGATGTTTTCTGAGGTCTTTTTGCTAGCACTAATATCTTACACTGCTATCATATTTTGTATATAGCTATGACACACACCCATAGGTAGGGGAAAAATTCCTCTGAAATTTGAAGAGCTTGGCAAAGAGCTATGTTGTTAGTTTTTGTTTGTTTTGTTTCATTTTGTTTTGTTTTGTTTTTGAAAGAGAATCTGTAAAAGAAGTGTGACCCAGAATCTGTTTTTTAATTTCATCTTCAGATCACCCACCTCTAATCTTCCAAGGATTGTTACCTTCTGTGGCATAGGCTCTAATGCACAGAGCAAAACCAGCAATGCTCTTTCTGTATTGCTGAAATTTAAACCAAACAGACTACTGCCAAAACCATCCAGAGGAATAGCCTCAATTAGGTACCATTTTAAGGGACCAGTGGCACCCAGATCACCACCACCTTCAAATCAGGAGAATCTAAATTGATCCAGAAAGAAAGGAGACCCACTCGGTGATTAGAACCTTGAGACCTTAACTGGATTGCAGTAGTGTTCCTGTAAAGCTCACCGGTGACTCTCCAGTACAGAACAAGACAACGTAAACTACTAGAGATACCACAAGGCTCTCTGGTAGGTTGGTCTGTTCAGTAGCTTTGGACAATTGGTCTATCTGCCACATTGTACTGATAGAAGGAAAATGTAAGGGGGCTCTTTGGATGAGTCCTGCTGCGGTGAGTCTCCCAGTACAGCACACGGTGAGGATAAGCCATCCTCATCCATGGTGAGAAGGGAGCTTATTCCTGACGTTGGCACAGCCTTCACCTAACCTTTCCAGAGCAGGCTCTTCTTGCTCGCTGCCCCGTGCTTTGCCAAGGGATCAGATAGCTCAGGGATATCTCCTGTTTCTGTTCTAGGATTCCAGTCAGATCGAGCTGTTGAAGGAACTCTTGGATCTCCTTCAGGACATGGTGGTGATGCTTCTGTCCCTCCTGGAAGGTTGGGCTGTTTGGTATAACTAGGCATTCACAACTGTAATTGGTGTGAGCACTAACTTTACTAATCACACAGATTGTCCTTCTGGCAGATTGTTGATGCCATATGACATTGATTAGAAAGCCAAATTTTCAGAAACAAACAAAAAATGAGTGAGGGGCATGTGGTCTGATGGACGAAGCCTGAAACCAACTCATTTTATGTCAATAGGAAAGCCAGAATGAACTGGGGAAAACCTCCAAGCTTTGCTCTTCCCTACCCTCTTCCTCTCCCCATTGCTTTTCGATACATCTGGCTGCCAGTGTGTATGCCAGCCATCTAGTTGGGCACCCTCCTAGGTCTAAGGGGATAAGAGGGGCACCACGTAGCCCTACGGGCCCCCAGTAATTTGATAATAAAACCACTTCCCAGGCCCCATGCCAAATAAAAGGCAGTGGTATGGCCATCTCCGCTTTCCCTCTGTTTCTTTCCCCCTTGGCTCCTAGTGGTGTAGTCTTTATGGCTTGCTGCTCCCTCCTACCCATTTCTAAATCATCACAGTCAGAAAACAGCCAACTAATATGGCACATTGGTCTTCTAAAAATAACTACCTGACTGGTTACATGGTGGCTTGGGTTTATTTATATAATTGTCTGTCTTTTTGAACCTGCCTCACAGGAAATGTGGTAAATGGAACTATTGGCAAGCAGATGGTTGACACACTGGTAGAGTCATCTACCAATGTAGAAATGATCTTGAAATTCTTTGACATGTTCTTGAAACTTAAAGACTTAACGAGCTCAGACACCTTCAAAGAATATGACCCAGATGGCAAAGGGATTATTTCCAAAAAAGAGTTCCAGAAGGCCATGGAAGGGCAAAAACAGTACACACAGTCAGAAATTGACTTTCTCCTTTCATGTGCAAAAGCTGATGAGAATGACATGTTTAATTACATTGATTTTGTAGACCGGTTCCATGAGCCGGCCAAGGACATAGGGTTTAACGTGGCGGTGTTACTGACGAACCTTTCTGAACACATGCCAAACGATTCTCGCCTGAAGTGTCTGTTGGACCCAGCAGAAAGTGTGCTAAATTACTTCGAACCATACTTAGGACGAATCGAGATCATGGGTGGGGCCAAGAAAATTGAACGTGTTTATTTTGAGATCAGTGAATCCAGTCGAACTCAATGGGAGAAGCCCCAAGTGAAGGAATCTAAGCGACAGTTCATTTTCGATGTTGTCAATGAAGGTGGAGAGCAAGAAAAGATGGAATTGTTTGTGAACTTCTGTGAGGATACAATCTTTGAAATGCAGTTAGCATCTCAGATCTCTGAATCTGATTCAGCTGACAGGCCAGAAGAGGAGGAGGAGGAAGATGAAGATTCTTTGTATACATTAGAAATTGAGGGTGAAGAGGAGGAAGACAAGTCCTTTGAGTCAGCCTCTGCGTTTGCCATGGCCTGTGTCTCAGTGAAGGGAAATATTGCCAACTTCCTGAAGAAGGCAACCCTGAAGAACCTCAGGAAGCAATACAGGAATGTGAAAAAGATGTCTGCGAAGGAGTTGGTGAAGGTGTTCTTCTCTTTTTTCTGGATGTTGTTCGTGGGGGTATTTCAGTTGTTCTTTACCATATTGGGAGGAATCTTTCAGATCCTCTGGAACACGGTATTTGGAGGGGGCCTAGTAGAAGGGGCAAAGAACATCAGAGTGACCAAGATTCTGGGTGACATGCCTGACCCAACCCAATTTGGCATCCATGATGATGTGGTGGAGACTGAGCGAGCAGAAGTAACTGAGCCAGGTATCACAACTGAACTAGCACACTTCATAAAGGGCGAGAAGGGAGATACGGACATTATGTCAGACCTCTTTGGACTCCATCCAAAGAAAGAAGGTGGCTTAAAGCATGGGCCTGAAGTGGGTTTGGGTGACCTCTCTGAAATGATTGGCAAGGATGAACCTCCTACATTAGAGAGTACAGTACGGAAGAAAAGGAAAGCACAGGTAAGTGTGATTGTTTTCTATCATCTTTCTTTATCCCCAGAAAAAAAGACTTACCACTTTATCTTGTAATCAGTACTGATACTGTTTGCCTATGAGCCAATACTGTATGTTAAACTCTTGCTCTGCTATGATTATCTGATCTTATTATTCTAGCTCTGCCATGTCTGAGGGAAATCGAGACTTCCATGGTCGTCTCAGTGTTTAGTCACTGGATGGTCTTCCAGTTTACATTGTAGAGTTTAAACATGACAGTCTGTGACCTTTACCTTGTTTCATATTTCTATTTGGAGGTAGTTCATGGTGCACAGATTCATTCAGAGAGCTAAAAGCATAGATCACCAAGTATAACATGAGTGGAGACCTTTCTTGTGAAACAGTACTTCTGCAGTGTACTAAAAGGTCCAGAAGATATAAGATTTAGCATAGCCTCCCAGAGAGTTTCATCATACTTGGGACATTTTTATTCTTGCAGTGGGCCTACTATCCAGTTAGCACTTCAAGTTAGTCAACTAGATTATATGAATAAGACAGCAGTTCTTCATAGCTTCTTGGCCATGGAAGGTTCTGGGTGTTCCCCTCATGCAGCATCCAACTCACAGCATTATTTTAACATCAATGAGAATAGAAGAGTATGAATTTATCAGTGCCCAAAGATGACTTTGATTCATTGACTCTATTACTATTTGTTGAAAGGTAATAAATATGCATTGTCTGCCATTTCAGGGAATACATTAGTGAATTAGAGATGCATTGTTTCTTTAGTTTTTGGAGGATACAGACATTGGACAAGCTAATACAAGCATAAAGAATGCTTTGAAAGGAATGTCAAGTGGAATGTATAGAAAAGAACTCACATGTGGTTTGGAGAATCAGGGAAGGAAGTATTAAAGGCATATGCAATCTTACAAAATTTATTTACTTATTCTGTTTTGCTTCTGATGGCCTAAAACAGAGCTTGGCACATAATAGGAACTCATCCAGGGACTAGCAGGATGTAGAAATAGGCGACATCTTTGCCCTCATGGAGTTTAATGTCTAGTGGAAGAAGACAACAAAGAATAAGATAATTACCATTTGTGATTCATGTAAATAGAAATGAACAGATATTGTGTTCAGAGTGAATGTAGGACCTACATAAACAGGGTGATCAAGAGGGCTTCTGAAAAGATGCCCTCTGAATCAAGTCCTGGAGGATGGTGGGCTCATGAAAAGCTAGAGCAATCATATTCCAGGCAGAAGATATGGCCTGTGCATCTTCCAGTACATGGAAGGATTTGAAATGTTCCAAAAAAGGAAAGGAATTTTATTTTAAGTGCAATGCTCATCAGCCAGAGATTGAAGCAGTGGCAAAAGGACTGGACACCAGGCAAGAAGGCTGTCATATGGAAGCAGGTTCTGGGATGGACTGGGTATGACTTGTGTCCCATCTTTCTCTTATCCCATGAGCCAATGGGACCAGTGCTATGGGCTCTCACAGTATTTTCACACAAGTTTCCTCTTTGGGTTGAATAAATAATGAATGGTAGATGAGTTCTGAAGTTTGAAATCTCTGTCTTAGCCTTTTTCCAGGGTAGCTTGATATAGAGCACTTACCTGCCATCCCAAAAGAAGCAGAAGCACAAAGAGAAAAAGGCATTGGGCTTGTGACCAAGAAGTGACCAGTGATATGACTCATTATCATGAACTCACTTTATTGAGGAATCTTTGACTGACAATTATCTTTGTCTAGGCAGCAGAGATCAAAGCGGCACGTGAAGCAGAAGGAAAAGTCGAATCTGAGAAGGCAGAGTAAGTTCTGGGGAGCATCCACTGCCCAAACTGCTGTGGGAGATAGTTGTTGATAGCATCTGTTTCATGGCATCTACTCTTCTATTGCTACAGTAAATAGTTTGATTTATATTAATACAAATAATAGCTATTTTGCAACCCTGGGTATATTTCTTTTTATTCCAGGTAGATAATAAATGCATCTTATTAATTTTTACTAACTTTTTGCATTTTTTACTGTATTAAAATTAATTAAATAATAAACACAGTAACAGGTAAGTGAGAATTCAATATTTTTAGTTGGCTAATATTTAAAAATTTACATATTCACAAGCTCATGGGTTCTTTACCACCATTGAAATTTTAATCTAAGTAGTCAAAATCTTCTGGAATGCCAAATTTGTATTGATTTTATTTTCTTCAACCCCAAATTTTCTTTTAGCCCAAGGTTTTAATCAGAAATATGTTATCGGTCCATCTGTTAGCTTCTCTGGCTACTTTATTTGCTTGATGTATTTCTTCCATGACTTGTGGGTCACATTCTTTGAATTTTTCCACTTTTGCCTTTAGCTGTTCCCTTTGGTTCCAAAATGAGGAAAGCTCTTTTGCTAGCATGATACACTCTTCCATCTCATGGCAGCCAATTTTAGCTTATCAATGCTCTTCTGTAGGTTTTCATGTTTTGGGCTTCCTTCAGAAATCTCTGATTCCAGAATCTCCAATTTATGTTTCTTGGCATGAAGAGCTTTACTTGGAAAAGACCAATAGTAATTGGAAGTCCCGATCCTCTCATAGTCAACCATGTCATCATGGACTAAACTCTGAAGGACTTCTTTTACTGACATGGCAGTAATGTCCTTCTCTTTTGGAGCAATTTTCTCCATGTCTTTTCATTGGAATACATTTTTTGTCTCAAAAAAGATTTCCATCATTCAGGCTCTCTTTTCTTCTGTAGTCAGTCATTTTTTTCTTTGATGCGGTGCAATGGCAGGCCTTCCTGCAGCAGGGCCAGCATACGCCAATCCTACTAACTTTTAACCCAATAATAGGCCAGAGCTTAACTGCCTGGCCAAACGAATTAATAAAACACCTGTACTTAGCAGCTTCCTATAATACCGATGATGATGATATCTAACATAACATATCTAACATTTATTGAGTACCTGTTACTTGTTAGGCCTGTGCTAGGTTCACTTCATTCCTGCCACAAGCTTCAAAGAGTGGCTCCTTTTGCTAACTTCCAAAAAAGCATAGGAGATAAAGAATAACTCTTCCAAAGGGGGAAAAAAATAAGCCTAATTTAAGAAGGAAAGCACAAACATGCATATAATTGATGTACACCTATGACCATGATTCATCAAAATGGTCACTACTCATTACAAATTTGGCATCCAGTCACTGGATGTTAATAAAGACGGGTTGTTTCCACCCTTGAGAAATTACATTCCCTCCTTCCCACTTCAACTCAGATTTCTTTTAATATTGTTTCCCTTTCTTTTTCTCTCTTTGTTGTTTCCACCCTTGAGAAATTACATTCCCTCCTTCCCACTTCAACTCAGATTTCTTTTAATATTGTTTCCCTTTCTTTTTCTCTCTTTCTTTCTCTCTTTCTCTCTTTTTTTTCTCTCTTTCTTTCTTTCTTTCTTTCTTTCTTTCTTTTTTGAGAGAGTTTTGCTGTAGGGTATATGTACTCTCCAGAGTAACAGAGAGACAGAAAGCAAGAAGTCACTCCCCAGGGGGGATGGCAACACCACAATCCCTTCTCCTCCATTCTCTTCTCAGGATCTTGGGCACCCATGCACATCTGGCATGAGTTTAAGCCACGGAGCCTGGGATTTGAACCGTGGTTGACTATATGGGAGTCCCACAACATAACCATTAAGCCATCTGCTGGTACCCAGTATAGTCTCCCTTTCTGGGCCAGAGCCTCTCTCCTCCCCTACTGAATGGGCTTCTCATTCCTACAGCATGGAAGATGGAGAAAAGGAGGACAAAGTCAAAGAGGAGGAGCAAGCTGAGTACCTGTGGGCAGAAGTGACAAAAAGGAAGAAGCGACGGCATGGTCAGAAAGCTGAGAAGCCTGAAGCCTTCATGGCCAATTTCTTTAAAGGTCTAGAAATCTATCAGACCAAGTTATTGGTAAGCACCATAGCCTGGACCCCATTTCTGGTGCGGGCATTGACCAGGCAGACCTCAGAGGTGGCTGTTGATTTGTGCCACCATCAACATTTGGTTAGTTTTGCTTCCTTGCCTTTCTCATTCCTGTTCTTTCCCTCTTCTCATTTATTTACCCATTCCTTTTGTGTCAGAAGAAAGGAAAAAAGGATAACCTGCAAAAGGCCACAGCCTTCCAGCCACTCTGCCCAACAGCAGAGGTCCACTCCAACCTGCTTCCTATCCTGCAAAGCAGTAATACTTCTAGTGTGTTAGGTGAGGACTTAGCTGATCTTGAAAACACATCCACACAGCACTTTCATAGTAGGACTTGCGTCCTCTGCTGGTGCCCTGCTTAGGCATTTGTTCCCTGATGCACAAGCCAGACCATGGTACTTTTGAACATCATGCTAAGCAATTTTTTTAATCAATATATCTGATTCCCCCAATTAAGTCATACCTGAGTTAATAAGACCAGGAGTGCCCTCTCTAGAGGAGTGGTAACCAGAGAGCAGTACTAGTTCTGTGCAAACTAACTGGCCTAGATCCTGTGTGTGAGAGGGAAGTTCTCTTCTGATGCTTCTCTACTTCTGCCTGTCCTTTCCTTTTCAGCATTACCTGGCCAGGAATTTCTACAACCTGAGGTTTCTTGCTCTATTTGTAGCCTTCGCTATCAACTTCATCCTGCTATTTTATAAGGTGAGGATACTTACTAAATATGCTTTATACTAAGTATGTTACATATGGAAGAACTATAACAGAAGGTATGCTCTTAATTATAGCAAAAAATTGGGGGCCAGCAGATGGCATAGCAGTTATGTCACTGGACTTCTATGTGGTCGAACACAGTTCAAGTCCCAGACCCGGTGGCTTAAAACTCATGCAGGGTGCATGTGCGTGTGTGCCAAGGATCCCAGGAGGAGATTGAAGGGAAAGGAATTGTGGCGTGGCTATCCCCTCTGGGGATTGCTTTCTGTCTCTGTCTCTTGAGCAAGAACATGCACCCTATAGCAAAACTCTCTCTTAAAAAAATAAATAAATAAAAATTCTAATATCTAAAGAAATTTCTAAAACACCAACTTCTAAAAAGGATACGATATTTAGCCATATGAAGAATAGAGAGACAGCTGGCAAAGGAAGCCAGAGAAGGAACTATTGCTATAGTTCAGGTCTGTTTCAGTCAGTAACTGATTTAGTCTTCACATATTTGTTGAACATCTCCCATGTGCTTGACCGATAAGGTATTTCACAATGAATAATAAATACAATTCTTTCCTCGAGAAATAAGGTACCCAAATAACATTTTGGTCTATATGTTAGGACCATTATGAAGAAAGACTAACAGGAGTTGGGAGGGAGAGGGACTAGTTGAGAAAAATGACAGTTTCAAAAATTGGTAGATTGGGGGACCAGCAGATGGCATAATGGCTACGTGACTGGACTCCCATGTATTTGACTGCGGTTCGAGTCCTGGACCCAATGGCTTAGACTCACGCCAGGTATGTGTGCGTGCATTCCCAGGATCCCAAGAGGAGAATGGAGGAGAAGGAATTGTGGTGTGGCCATTCCCCCTGGGGTAGGGGGTGATTTCTCATTTTCTGTCTGTCTCTCTCTGTCTTTCTGGCAAGTGCATGCACCCTACAGCAAAAAAACTCTCCCAAAAAAACCCCACAAAAACAAAAATTGGTAAGTGGGTCTCTTATGTGGCAAACATAAGTGTTAGCAGAGTAAATGAACAACCTTAGATTCTTTATTTTAAATAATTATTTAATTTTATCATTATTTTTAAAAATTTGCTTTATGGCATGTGCATTCACCAATAAGAGACAGAGAGGGAGAAAGAAAGTGAGAAAGCAAGCTGCCAGGTCCAGGACTCGAACAGCAGTCAGCCATGTGGGTGTCCAGTGCCTTAACCACTACGCCACCTGCTAGCCCAATCCTAGATTTTTGACATAGCCTTTAAATGGCTTTTTTATACCTTGTCTCTCTCCCTCCCCATTTAAAACCACCAAGCTATTCAACAAACTGATGACTTCCTGTTGCCCATAGAAGAAACATGGGACTGTATATATAAGTGTAGCAAAGTCTGGAGATTGAGGTGACTCCAAACAGCCATCTGGGTAGAATACCTGGTAGGTAGGCAGAGCTACAGGACTGAAAGCTTCAAAGTGAAGATTTGAGTCGTCTGTGTAAGAATGGTAGTTGAAGCCATGAATGTAAATGCATCTCATAAAGAATGGAAAATAAGGTGTTTGTGTGCACACACATGTGTGCTTGTGTGTGTGTATGTGTGTGTTTGTATTTTAGCCTCTCCTTGGCCACAGCTTTCTGAAATTACCTCCTGTGGCATGGGGAATTATAGCATATATTTTTAAAAATAACTAATTTTCATTGTTCTGCCTTTTTTCAAGAGATGAGTTTTATGTCATCTTGAAAAAATTGGTTGTAATTATTAGAGCTACTAAGGGAGTCCTAGTAATAAGTTACCTTAAAAAAATTCATCTGTTTGGCAAGTAATATTGAGTCACTACTATTGCACAAATTTGCTAACAGTATAAAATACACGGGGGAGGGCCCAGCGGCCGAGGCTCTTTCTGACATTTGTGTGTTATGTCTTGGGCCAGGTCACTGAAGAACCTTTAGAAGAAGAGACTGAGGATGTAGCAAACCTGTGGAATTCCTTTAATGATGAGGAAGAGGAAGAAGCAATGGTGTTCTTCGTTCTGCAGGAGAGCACTGGGTACATGGCACCGACGCTGCGGGCCCTGGCCATCATCCACACCGTCATCTCTTTAGTCTGTGTGGTGGGCTACTACTGCCTAAAGGTGAGCTGCTTGCCACTCTGGATCAAACCTGGCTCCTTGAGGATGAAGTGTCATTTCTGAATGCTAAAGATTTTGTTAGGAGAGCAGGGTTCATGGAGTCGCAGCACGAGCATCAGCTGGGAGCTGCTTAGAACCACAGCACCTTAGATTCTACCCCAGGCCTTTTAAATCAGTCAGAATCGGGACTAGTATGTGGCGTAATGGTTACGTCTCTGGACTCCCATATAGTCGACCATGGTTGGAGTTCTAGATCCAGTGGCTTAAAACTCATGCTTGGTGCATGTGCATGCATGCCCAAAATCCTGAGAGGAGAACAGAGGAGAAAGGGTTGCAGTGTGGCCATCCCCCCTGGGGGGTGATTTCTTGCTTTCTGTCTCTCTGGAAAGCGCACACACCCTATAGCAAAAACCTCTTAAAATAAATCAGTCAGAATCTGCCAGGCTATTCCTATGTGCATTCAAGTTTGAGGAAGCTTTATTCTAAAAGTCCCATTTCAGGTACCTTTTGTTGAATTTCATACAACTAGAGACGAGGCTAAGTCACCCATAGAGCTAGCCATAAGAGGTTCTTTTGATCTTTGAATTATGATGGAATATTTATAAAAATTACCTTTCATTAGATTATAGTCATTTGAGAAAATCAGAAGAAAATATGGATGTGCTACCATTCTAGTTAACTGTTGCTAACAAACTACTACAAAATTCAGTGGCTTAAACAACCATCATTGTGTGTCTTCTGATTCTGTGGGCTAACTGGGCACATTTGGGTCACTTCTGTGCTTAATATGAAGGAGCTGTGTCTGCACCCACTGGGGAGCTCTAAATGACTGGAATGGCTCAGAGCCATTGGTGGGTAAAACTGGAAGACTAGGTCTAGCTTGGGGAGCTGGGCCTCTCTCTCTCCATGTCGACTCAGGGCATCTTCCTCCCTAGGAATCTTCTCCACACAGACTCTCCAGTGGGGTTATTGGACTTCTTGCATGAAGGCTTGAGGTTTCCAAAAAAGCACACGGAAGTGGAAGCTGCTATCCCTTCTAATTACTTAAGCCCAGAATTTCAGTGTCATTTCCACCACATTCTGTTGGATAAACCAGTCACACAGCCAGCAAGGATTCATCGTTTTGCAGTGGGACAGTGAGGCGGGAAGAGCAACACGAGGGCATGAATTCCAGGAGGCATGACTCACAGGGGAATCTGCAAATACAACTACATCTGTGTCATCTCCAGTCATTCCATTTTTTGGTGTTCTAAGTTCAGTTCTGCTTTCACTGTAACACCATGTTTTTTCCCCATTTATTGTTCTCATTATTTTTTTCTCATTAGATTTTTTGTACTTCTCTTAACTAGGAAGTCCCTTTGGCTATTTACCAAGCCATCTTCTTCTTGGGAACTGTCCAGGAGATATATTCCTACCCTTATGGCCCTTTGTTTCCCCAGTGAACTGTAGTATTGTGTGGGAAGCCCTGCTACCCTCCTGGAGAGACCACAAACCAGGTCATGCTAAGGACTCCATTGTCACCATGAAAATGTGGATTCTGGAGCCAGGCTGCCTGGGCTGTGGTCAGAGCTCTGCATTCCT